ATGGTAGGAACAGCACAAAACCACCATGTCCACTGTAGGGGGAAGGGGCACAGTTCCAGAGAGCTGCTGCCCAGGGTGAAACTGTAATGTTTCCAACTGACAACAGTCTGCCCCCTTCCACACTCTCTTTCCTTCCCAGCAGGGAAAGCATGTGAGAAAACAAACCACACCCCCACCCACCACCTTCTCTACAAATGGGAAACAAACCTAACTGCTGTGGCCTGTCTCTGTCCTCGACACAGAAACGTGTGCATTCAAGTGACAGTTGGCTCTTCCTTCTGGTTTGCTAAACCCTAAGCTTTTTGCCAGGCCGTGGTGGCACACACCTTTGATCCCAGCACTCTGGAGGCAGGTGGATCTCTGTGAGTTACAGATCTCTGGTCTACAGAAAGAGTTCCAGACAGAGAAACCCTGTCTCAAAAAAACAGAGAGAGAGAGAGAGAGAGAGAGAGAGAGAGAGAGAGAGAGAGAGAGAGAGAGAGAGAGAGAGAGAGAGAGAGAGAGAGAGAGAGAGAGACCTAAGCTTTCCAAGCAAGATGTTTCAAATCCGCCAGGAAGAAAAGATACAGAGTTCATATTTGGCCCACATCAAGTTTTGCCTCCATGACTGAGCATACAAGAGCAGAGCAGACGCCACAAAGCCCAGCACCTAAAGGGCAGCTCAAATGCACCTTGCTAGGGCCACTTCTGCAGACTTTCTGCCAACTGTATATAGTCTGAACCTGGCATTTACCAGATTCTAGAATTCTTACTACTATTCCCAGGCTCCTTTTCTTCCCAGTTTCAGATCTGAGAAATCATAGCATAAGGGGAGACCAGAAGAATGGGAGGAAGACATCCAAATCTGGTTAAAATCCCAGGTTGGTGATTTAATAACAACCACTACTTCAGGCAATTCAGATATCATATTTACACATCCCTAGCACTGTTGACGGCCAGACGAGGTGCAGACACACAGAGAGAGTGGGTCAGCATGAGGTATGGTCATTTACAGCAGGCACTCAAAAGTGCTCCCAACTCCTTCCTGAGGCTAAGTGACTACATCCACAAGGAAACTGACTCAAATGAGTCTGAAGCTGAAGAAGTTCCCGATTTCAAGGGTAAGATTGCCCTAAACCATTACTTTATCATCTTCCTTTTTATATCTGCTCACAAAGCTGTGTGATACCATAGAGACTCAGGGGACTGTGTCAGAGGACTTAAATCACCCTTTTCCCTGAAGTTCAAAGAAAGAATCCTTAAAACAGCTCCTCAACAAAGGCGTCGGAAGACTTATATTCCACATTTGTAAATGGTGACTGACTGACAGCTGAAAGTAGACAATATTGTGGAGTGTCTAATGGAAAAGTGGCATTCTTGGATATACCACTGCATGAAGCACCCACTAACTGCCTCCATGGCATCCTATTTGAATATGAAGAATAAAGAAGGAGCTGCTTGTGTGTGACCTCAAGGACTAGACAATGAAGAATAAATGCAATAGAAAGTCACATGGTCATGGAATCCAAGCTTGAGCCCAAATAATGCAGCCTGGTGTTACATAAATAAAAAATTATAGATAGATAGATAGAGATAGATAGATAGATAGATAGATAGACAGATAGATAGACAGACAGATATATGTATCTATCACAGCCTGAAGTAGATAACTAAACTCATAACTTAAGACACTTGCACTGAACAGCATAACATAAACACCCCAGGCATGGGATCATAGGTAGCCGGAACACACAAAGACATGTATCACCTATAGCTCCTAGCTCCACCAGAAAGATAGATATTGAAGGTCAAATGAACATTGAGTCACTGAACCTTTTCCTTAAACATAAGTTTTCCTGTTATAGTAATCCTGAATAAAATCTCTGCAGTGGGCTGGAGAGGTGGCTTAGTGGTTAAGAGCACCAGCTGATCTTCCAAAGGGCCCAGGTTCAATTCCCAGCATCCATGTGGACAGTTTATAACTGTCTGTAACTCCAGTTCCAGGGAATCTGACACCCACTCCCATACAGACATTAAAAAAATAAAGCTCAGAGGTTTTCCTTACAAGAATTCAATTCTTAAAATGTGGATCCAATTTTTACTAGTAATAGTTTATGGGAAGGTTTTTTTTTTTAAGCTCTGCTAATCTTAGTTCAGTAGTTGGTCTGTGCCTTCTCTCTTCTTCCCATTCATAGCTGGTATTTATTTTTTTAGGTACAACTCAACCAGTGTTAAGGTATTGGGGTAAAGGCTACAGTCATTGAGTAGGTTTCTATCCTCTGAAGTAAGATGGACTTCTGTCACTTTAATTTTATTTCTAGGCTTTAAATATTCTAGAGGTGGAGGTTGGAAGGCTCTGTCTTCCTAGCCTGAAACAGCTTTGTTAGTTATTGGTGTAACTCATACCTACAATGAGGCGCTTGTACGCTTGTCCGCACAGTGTAAGTCTTGTTTTCCTCCCCAAATCCTTTGTGACCTTTATTATATAAGGGAGTGAAACAGATCTGGTGTGGTGGCACACACAGAAGCTTTGCACGCAGGAGGCTAAAGTAGGTAGACAGCCTGGGTACACAGGGAGACAGAGGTGGGGAGGAAACTAACACCAGTAATGCCAACATGTTTCTCATTGCTCAAGGATGGAGAGTCCTAGACGCACAGGCAGATATAAAAGTGCTATCTAATAAAATTTCCCTCCTAAAACTTGTCCTTCAAGCTTGATCTCCAGGATTTCGTATCTCTGAAGCCTCCAGCAACTCCTGAAACTGAAAGAAAAACAAAGTAGAGTACCCTGGGTAAATAACCTCAGGGAGGAAGAGGGACAAGAGACATAAACGGGCGGGTGGGTGGGACTAAATAATTTGGGAGGGCTCCTTCAGCTTGTTTCACACATCTTCCAAAAGGAAGTAGGGCTTAGAGGAGAGTGTGAACATCAGTGGTTCATGTGTATCCCTAATACTAGGATGCCAAAAGTCTTTTAACTATCAAAAAAGTCAGCATACTTTCTGACTTTGTTTTTTGTTTGAGAATCTCGGGATTGCATCCAGTTAACTGTGTGACATACAGAGGAGGAAAAAGTAGCCACAACAAACAACAGACACTAACACCCCAAGGAGCCTGGGATGTACAATCATAAAGGTCTACAGACTTCACTTTGTGACCTACTAGACTCAATGTGAGCACAAATCCACCATGCTAATGAAGGGCATTATTTTCCTAAAGATTAATTCATACCATGTGTTATTAATCCACAGAGTAACTGAAAGCTCATGCAAAAAAATGCTCTCCCAGTTGAGTAGAACTTAATTGCATTATTGTTATTAGCATGGCTGCTGCACCGACTTCCCTGTCACTGGCTCCAAGTTTCTCTCTCTCTCTCTCTCTCTCTCTCTCTCTCTCACACACACACACACACACACACATATGCAGAGACAACACAACACAACACACTATGAAAGGAAAAGCAGAAAACCCAGAGATAGAAGTAGCGGCCATGTCTGTCACGAACAGTTTTTTCAAGAAACACCGTTTGTCTCTGGAAAGACGGTCAAGTGTGCACCAGACTGCCTTGAGAAGTAATTAAGCTTAGGCTGTTTCATTTCACAGAGTCCCATCTTGCATAACGTGGGAGCAGCTGTGGGAGATCACAGACGAAGCAAAGCCAAACAGGCAACCACATCTTTCTCCCCCGTGTTAACAGCAATTTCCAGGGGGCCTAAAAAGGCTGCAGCCTCTGTTCTCCCTGATCGCACAAAGCCGGCCTGCCATCCAGAACACGTTCTCAGTACCACAGCAGCCCCTTTTCAAGGGATGAAAAAAAAAAGCAGCTTCAGTGTCCCAGACAACGTTCAAATCTCAGAAAACCAACTTTTGATCCAAAGCTTGAGACCTCTCCCAAAGTTCTTAAGTTGCATGCCAAAATTCTCTCAGGTAGACATGGGGCTTGGCTGCCTCCGTCATAAGTTCCTCTGGTTCTGGCTGCCTTGTCTTGCAGGGGTTTAGAAAAAGGGAAACAGATTGTGAAGCCTAGGAGTCAGGAGTCCGCCTACCCTAGCCCCATCCCCCATTTCCTTCCCAACATCCCTTAAAAGAAGCTGAGACCTTAAAACTGAGAGTCCAGGAACCAACTGCACTTGGGACTCTTGCTGGGGCAAGAGAAGAAACGTCACACCCTTTTGAGCTCCCAGCAAGGCAGACTCCGGCCCAGAAACTTAGTCCCAAAAGGAAATGGAAAGAGGATTCCAGTCTTTGATTGAGAAGCTGGAATGGGAAGGCTGAGAGATGGGGAATGAGGGAGGGGAGCCGTGGACTCAGCTGGAGGAACTGGGGTCGCCCGAGAAGTCAGGACAGCTCTTAACAGGTCCCAGCCAAACTGCACATTTTTGTGGTTTAAGATTTAAGACCAAAGGGAACACACTGAGGTTCTCCCCCGCTCGGGGCGCTTCTACCCCGTCTGGGTTTCACATGCCTCCTGCTCGCGAAAGGACCCCGGCGCCACTCTGCAGCCGGCCTCCTCTTTCTCGGTCGGGGGAGCTGTCCATCTGCCCAGCCGAGATGTCCACCCTCCAAGTTCGCCCGACCAAGTGCGGGCGCGGCGCCTGCGGCCAGCCACCTGCGGGCGTCTGCTGCAGACCCCGCAGGCCCAGAGCTGGGTGTCCAGGGGATGCTGCGCAGGGAGTCGGGGTCTGCTGGATGGTTTTCATTCTTTGAACAAAAAACCTTAGCTGCTAATCTCTCAACTCGCCCCGGGCCAGCCACCTTCCCTTCACACCCACGCTGCACCTCCCGGCACACGCGCTGCGAGGTGCCGCTCCCGCCAGACAATGGGTTCGTGGCCGGCGGGGTAGCCCGACCCGAGGCCCTTTCGCCAAGCCAGGACCCAAAGAGAGCGCAAAGCGACGGACCGAGAGAAGCAGGGAGCCCACAATGGGGAAGGTGCGAGCCTCGCCCTCGAGACGGGAGGAGCGGGTTCAGCTGCACCGCCTGCCCCACCGGGGCCCCGCGCCCGACCTCCGCGTACTCACCAGCACGGTGGCAAAGCGCTCCTCCAGTTCACCTGGCTCGGGCATCGGCAGCTTCAATGGAACGTTGTGCGCCCTGAAATCGGTCTGCTGCGAGTCCATGCTCCCCGCGTTGCCCATGTCGACTGCGTGCCGGAGACCCGGTTGGCTCCGGGCCCCTCGCGTCCGCGTCCGAAATGCCCACAGCCCCGGGCGCTCGGCTCCCGCCCTCTGCCGCGTCCGGGCGAGCGTTCCACTCACACCGCTCCCTAGAAGAGCTCAGAACCCAGCCGGTCCCCGGCTGCCCTCATGCTCCCCGCCGCCTCGGCGCCGCCCCGGCCTCTGTGCTTCGCGAGGGGTCTGCGGGGCGCTGGGCGCCAATCCGCATGGTGCTCCCGCCGCCCCCGCCGGCGCCCGCGGCCGCTCGTGCGCTCCTGCTCTCCGGTCTCCCTGCCCCGGCCGCAGCCGCGCTAACACCTCAACCCCGGCCCCACCGCGAGCGGACGATCGCGCACCGCGAGCCGACACAATGCCCCCTCTCGGCCCCCGCCCCCGGCCCGGCTCCTCCCACCCGCCCCGCGGACTGCCGGGACACGTAGTTTCGGCCCAAACCGGCCACGCGCAGAAACTGTGCGCGCTCCTGGAGGGCCGCGCTGTGGTTGAGCTGTTTGCAGCAAAGACAAGCTGGACGTCGTGAAGTGGCTCTTGTCACTTTTGACATGGCCTCCCTCATCCTGATAGTTTAAAAGATCTGCCTGGTCTGCGTTAAATCTGACTCTTAAGCACTTTTGAAGAATGAATGAATGAATGAATGAATGAATGCATGGATCCTGTCAATCAGAAAACGCATGATTTAAGTTTCAGAAGGGTTTGATCCTGCCAAAGGATCTAGTTGAATAGGACACACACACACACACACACACACACACACACACTCACACACTCACACACACACACACACACACACACACACACACGGTCCTGGCAATGCCCACCTTCATGAGCCGCGGGTGGAGGCATGATACGGGTTCTTCCGCATCTGTGTTGCATAGTCTTTGATGTGACTGAACGTTTTCTAAACAAATGTGTGATTTATGGTATGTGTAGTCCGACCCCAGGAACTGTTACAAGAATTCAATCCAAAATAGACAATTAAAAACAAATAAGTGATAAAGACCTATGACGAAATTACAGTTCCATAGACTGAGGGACCCCTCTCGGGAATGCTTTCCTCCAAAACAACACAGAGAAACCCTGTCTTTAAAAACAAAAACAAAAACAAAAAGACGTAAGACAATTTACACAGGTAACTATTTTGAATGTGCTGGGTACACAGTCTGCAGTATTGGAGAGGTGAGGATGATCTTTGACTGCGCCCTTCCTTCTTCCAAAGTAGACTTACACCAAGTGTTCACAAAGAATATTGGGCTCTGTATCCTCTGAACTTAGTCATTCTGAATGCTTGGAGATACAGCCGTTATACACGACTTTAGTCAACTGTCCTCACTGTGGACTTCAAGCACATGCATGTGGTTGGCTTACGGCTGACCCGCCATTCTTCCTGAGTTATCGTAGAGTGGTGTTTCTTACTCTTTGTTATAGTCAGCCTCACTTGGCGGACTTTGTTAAAGTTGCACATACCTTGAGCTCCGTCTAGCGCCAGAGTCTCTCTAAACTGAGAGATGGTGCCTGGGTAGGTGTAGCTACTGGTTCCCAGGTGACTTTGGTATGCAGTTTGGACTATCAGCATTCTGAAGGAAATGTCAAGACCTATGACTTTTCCTTAGTAGTTACGATTACCTGGTGTTAGGGTGGCCCCTGCAGTGCCCATCAGGAGTGTGATTTTTTTAAAATAGGCTTCACTTTTCTGTGCCTTAATTTCATCATCTAAAAAAAGCCATAATAATACTGCCGGGTACAGTCTCAATAGATCTGTACTGTTCAGAAAGAGAACTCAGACTATTAAATACGGCAATATATTACTGTCATTATTGTCATCCTTATAGTTCTTTTTTTTTTTTTTTTTACGAGACAGGGTTTCTCTGTATTGTTTTGGAGGCTGTCGGTCCAGCCTGGCCTTGAACTCCATCCTCATAGTTCTATTGACCTCAGTACTTCCTATTTCTGCCTTCATATTTGTGATGGCTAATGTTATGTTGATTTTGGTTAAGTAGAATGGACTAAGGGATGCCCAGAAAGCTGATATAAAAAAGAAGCATTATTTTTGAATATGTTAATTTCATTCAATAGTCTGAATTAAAAGTTCATCTTCACTACAGCAGGAGGGCAGCACCCTTTCTGCTACAGCCGTGAAGAGAACAGTAAGTCCGTTCTCTGCTGTGTCTGGAACATCACCTTTTACATCTCATGCATTGGTGTTCCTTCTGGGTCGTTGAACCTGGACCAAGAATTACATCATTGGCTCTCCAAGGTCTCAGGGCTTCTAATTCAAACTGGAGCCCATCACCAGCTTTCCTGACCTCTAGCTTGTGGAGGCAAATCATGTGACTTTTCAGCCTCCAAAATCACAGAAGGCTATGTTTCACAACAAATCTATATATGTATGTTTGTATGTATGTATATATATATATAGAGAGAGAGAGACACACACACACACACACACAGAGAGAGAGAGAGAGAGAGAGAGAGAGAGAGAGAGAGAGAGAGAGAGAGAGAGAGAGAGGAAACACCTGAAAACTTTTGCCACACACATATGGAGGAAATCCTCAAAAATATATTTAGTACGCTAACGAACCACTTCTAAATTTTAAATAATCTTTTAAAATTTGTTTATGTTTATTATTTTGTGTGTCTGTGTGTTCAAACTCACAGAGAGGTCAGAGAGCAACTTTCAGGAGTTGGTTCTCTCCTTCCAGAACTAGACCTCAAGTTGTCATGCTTAGAGGCAACACACATTTTTTTGTTTAAACTTTACTATTATTATTATTGTATATGTATGAGTGCTTTGTCTGCATATATGTATGTGCACCACACACAGACCTAGAGCTCTGGGTGGTAACAGAGAGTGTCAGATCCCCTGGAACTGGAGTTACAAATGGTGGTGATCCATCATGTGAGGGTTAGGAACCAAATCCAGGTTCTAGGCAAGAATGACAAACGCTCTTAACCAATAAACCGACTATCCAACCCAACTCCTAACTTTTAAAAAGAGATCATAAATAAATCATCCTTTAAAGTGTCACAAATGCAATCTGTACTGGTGAAGTATTGTCTCAAAGTTAATGGCAAGCATACAATTGATATGAGAGGAAAACAGAGGCATAGCTGCAAACCCCACACTAATAAATATGAGCAAGAGAGCAGCTAGTTCAGACCAGGTGAGGCATTTCTAATCCACGAAGGTATTTATTTTATTTGAGATTTCTCGACATATAGCCTAGGTCTGACTGACTCAGAATCAGCCCACCCAGAGAGCTGCCCGTCTGGATGGAAAGGCTGGAATTTGTTTCTGCAGTCAAGAAAGCCTTTTTATTACATTTATGACTTCCTCTGGCCATATTTCTGCCAGGACCCAAGACCTTTCCCTCCCCCTCGGTCTTATCACATCTAGTCTCCGTCATGAGCTTTTAGAGGAGCCAAGGACAAAGTGTGCATATCCGTGAACCAAAAGTACTTTCTGCTACTTCAAGATTTGCCATCACTAGCATTGTCATTGTTTATAACTAGTATCAAGAGCAGTTGCAAGAAATCCACAACTAACCATTGGGCCGAGCTCCTGGAATACAATCAAAGTGAGAGAGGATCAATAATATGAACAAAGGAGTCAAGACCATGATTGGGAAACCCACAGAATCAGCTGACCTGAGCTAGTGAGAGATCACTGACTCAGGTCTGACAAATAGGGAACCTGCATAAGACTGAACTAGACTCCCTTAATATAGGTGACAATGGTGTTGCTGGGACAATATTTGAGGCCACTGACAGTGGATCCAAGACCTAACTCTAATGCACAATTTGACTTAGTGGAGCCCATTTTATATGGAGAGATACCATGCCCAGTCTAGACACAGGAGTATGGGGGGTGGAGAGGTGACTTGGTCCTGCCTCAATGAGATGATGGGACAAACTTAGTAAACTTCCTAGGGGAGGCCTTACCCTCTTCTAAGGAGCCGATGGGAGGTGGGGTGGGGGGAGCGGGAAGAGAGGAGAGAGGGGGAACTGGGATTGGAATGTGAAAAATAAATTAATAAAAAATTGTTTAAAATAAAAAATAAGAAAGAGTAATTGCAAACACCCCATGGGCTTGTACAATTCTTGCTTAGGGATTTTCATTTTAAGAATTGCAAAAAGAGTGCTTGCTTTGGCAGCACACACATAACTACAATTGGAATGATACAGAGAAGAATTGCATAAAGAGAAAGGAGAAGACATTTCTGAGAGAGAGAGAGAGAGAGAGAGAGAGAGAGAGAGAGAGAGAGAGAGAGAGGGAGAGGGAGAGGGAGAGGGAGAGGGAGAGGGAGAGAGAGAGAGAGAGAGAGAGAGAGAGAGAGAGAGAGAGAGAGAGAGAGAGAGAGGGAGGAAGGGAGAGAGGGAGAGAGGGAGAGAGGGAGAGGGAGAGAGAGAGAGTGTGTGTGTGTGTCCAGAGGTCAGAAGAGGATATCAGAGCCCCTGGAGCTGGAGCTACAGGTGTTTGTGAGCCACCTACTGAGGGTTCTGGGAACTAGCCTCCAGTGTGTTTACTAGATGACTGCCAGAGAGCTACAATGGACTCAAGTCTACTCAGCTTGACGGCAGAAAGAAGGGGGAAGTACCAATGCTAGTTAAGCTATTCCTCTTATCTGTAAAGCAGAGGTTCGCTCAGAAATACCAAGTAGCAAAGTGCCTGTGAGTCCTCATTCTCCATGCTGGATCACATGACCAGTCCCAGAAGCAGAAAACGATGGTGGAGAAAGATGAAACCCGGGCCAGAAACATTCCTCATCTGGAGAGCATTTGAAATTCTAACAGCAAGACTGGAGAGGAAATGGTATGAGTGGCCAACAACTCATTCTAAACCCCTCCCCATGTCTTGCATACTTTTTTAAAAAGTGCAAGTATCTAGCACTGCAAATAGCAAAGTGGATGCCACTCCAAATTCTGCACATACTGAAAAGGATACTTGGAGGATGATTTAGACAGCTTTCTCTGAATACGGTCTATATGTGAATTCAACGGATATATTCATTCTTCGAAGACCAACCAGGTGTGATGGCACACACCCATAATCCCAGCACTGTGGAGGTAAAGGCAGAAGGATCGAGAGTTCAATACTCAGTTACACAACGTTGGAAACCACTTTGGGCTACAAAATAAAATACCAACTACCAGCAATAATTCAAGATGCAAGAGGCTGGTCCAGCAGGTAAAATGTGTGGACCAACCAAGTTCAAACTCCACAGACACAGACAATAATAATAACTGTATTTTTTAAAGCAATGGGGAAAAAAGCAAAGAGCAATGTAAGCAGCTATATTTTTAATTTAGAATATGGAAAATGTAATTATCT